GGACTCTGGGTAACCTTTATAATCTGACTGATTCATTGATAACTTGATTGATTATTCTGACTACCTGCTGCTGTCCTCTAGGTGAGCTGTACCTTTCAGTGGGCGTGTCTTACTGCCGACTCAGGTGTTTCCAGGAGGCAGTGCAGTGTTTCCAGGCAGCTCTGGGTCCTGCAGCTCAGCATCCCCCCCTACTGGCCAAAGTGTTGCACAACTTGGGAGCTGCTCTGAATTCTGTGGGCCGGTTCACACCTGCTATGGGATACCACAGGCTGGCTGCTGGCCTCTACGGTCAGACACACCAGGACTATGCACCCATCAGTCACCCGTCACACTGATCAGTCACCTGTCACACCTTTTTTGTATGTGCAAGTTGAAAATGTGAACACTGGTAGATGGAAACATGCCTTATCAGATGTCCACCACATTAATCAATCAATTATCCCACTAATCACTCAGAAGTTTATATTGCATACATTGAATAAAATATGAAATATATATGTACTGTATGTTTCTGTGTGTACATGTAAACATGTTTGTGTAAATGTATGTGCAGGCTCTCTGGGTTGCCGTGGTGACCAGGCTCGGTGTTTCAGTAACCTGGCATTTGCCTGCAGTCGGCTGGGTGATGAAGAGGAGGCAGCAGAGAGCTTCATCCACGCTCTGCAGGGATTCAGAGACACTGGTAACATTAGTAACTTCTTTACTCCTGTTAGAATTGGTGATTAGACTTATTGTATTGCAATAGTCTGATAATTATAAGATTTATTACATTTCATAAATCTCATAATTCTTAGACATACAACAGTTAAGCAGAATATCATGTTGTTCAAAACTGTAACAGCTGATAGTTTTCGGTAAACACCAGAAACAACGAGGCTTCAGTCTAACAAGATACAGGTGAGACAGGTCAGGGTTCAGTTGAGGTCAGTAATTTGGAGAAGAAGGTGAATCGCAGAGACATTAACAGCAAAAATGCTAAGATATTTAACAAGAGCCGAAGGAGGAATCATTGTACCTGTCACAAGTCATTCAGACACCAGACAAGGCCAGGAAGACCTGTAAGTTCTTACTTCTAAACTCTGGCAAAACTGAAGTTATTGTACTTGGGCCTGGAAGCCTTAGAAATCTGCTGTCTAACTATATGGTTACTCTAGATGACATAGCTCTGGCCTCTAGTACTGCTGTGAGGAGCCTTGGCGTCATCTTTGACCAGGATACAGTGCCTTGCTAAAGTATTCGGCCCCCTTGAACTTTGCAACCTTTTGCCACATTTCAGGCTTCAAACATAAAGATATAAAACTGTAATTTTTTGTGAAGAATCAACAACAAGTGGGACACAATCATGAAGTGGAACAAAATTTATTGGATATTTCAAACTTTTTTAACAAATAAAAAACTGAAAAATTGGCCGTGCAAAATTATTCAGCCCC